CGGTAAGAAATTTACAAAATATCTTTATGGAACACGATCTTTACTTAATATCCTAATGATTTTTGGCATGAATACAATACATACAATATGTATACAATACATACATACAATGTGTTTTGGCTATTGCTACAAATATACCCCAGCGACTTAAGACTGGTTTTGTGCTCCAGGGTCACAAATAGCTTTGATTTTTGTTTGTTTTAGTACTTTCAGCTAAACTTTTTTGAATCCAGTTCATTAGACCTTTTATGATTTAATAAAATTTTATTAAACCATTCAAATGACTCCAGAAAAAAAAAGAAAAACGCAGAATTTGGGGAGAAAAAAAAAAAACTGAATTTTTGGGGGAAAAAATAAAAATAAAGAAAACATTCATAGGGCCCTAGTTTAATGTTAATTTAGAGTTGAGGTATTAAGACTATGTTTCTGTTGTTCCGGGACGAACAGAAGATCCAGAAACACATTCAACTGCGAACCAGTGGGCACCATCATCTCGCTCTCGTTCCTCTCGCTGCCTCTTCTTCTAATTATTTGGTGGATCGCCTTGAGGGACGAGAAAAAAAATGAGACAGGCACAAGTAGCGATCGCTTTGCACTAATAGCGTGCATACACCAGCACCACCCGTGGACACGACTATCCAAATGACACACTGCCAAACTCCTACACAGGCCTCACCGACGCCTCTCGGCTTCGCTTTTTGGATTTCTGACCTACTTTCTCAGAGCCCTAACCGACTGATGTGCCGCCCCTTTGAAATCTTGGCTGTCTTCCGATGTTATCTGAAAACACACACCCACACCTGTAATTGAGCGGTCACGACAAACGCAGCTTTAATGAACCTGTCGGCAGATTTCAGAAAGCGCGACGTGGGTGAATCTGGGTGGTGTTATGGCGAGCAGATGTTCAAGGAATCATCAAGCACTCATTCGTCATTAGCATGCTGTGATGCCGCAGTTTTAGCACCCGTTGACGTCTGATGTAGCAGTTCCTCTGAGAGCCGAGTGCTTATTTCATTCACCCTGAAGCTTTAACAACACTTGCCAATCAAGTTTTAAATTATAACGCATGTAGGCTAATTTTGGGGACGTTTAGAAGCTGATGGAAGTTTTTGAGTGTTTTAAATAGGAAAAATATAGAAACTCTTCGGTCTAATCAGATTCAATTATCTATGCTAAGCTAAGCTAAAAGTGCTACCGCCATACCCGGAGATCGGCTGAATGGATTCGAAAACGGTAAAACTCAACTGTTTAACTCTAGGGGAGTTGGAAAATGAGCCTATTTTCAAAAATAGTGGAGTGTTCCTTTAAGTAGGCTTGATTCTGATCCCTTGGGAAATGGAGGATACAAATGAAATATTTTGCAATGCTTTTTTTTCTGTCTTTTTCAAGATCAACTCTTTCACCAAATTCTTCTTTTCTAACTGTGAGACTTGCTCTGATTACTTGCGGACACAACATGGAGTCAATATAAGAGGATCCATAATAAAGAAAAGAAAAACCTAGTTGTTCCGTGCTCTTAGAAACATGCTTTTTTTATGTATTTTTATAGCATGTTAAATATTTTGCATTAGCTTTTATTTTTGGATTTTCTCTTTTTCTATGTACTTTCTCTTTTTTTTTATTCTATATGAGTTTTGTTTGTTATTATTTCAAATTTGATCAATTTTAAACTAAAACACTTACAATTAGAAATGATGCCTAACTGAAATTAAAGATAAAGCATTCAAATTACTACAAACTTACTACTTACTATAAAAAATAAAACAACTATTATATTTTATATATTTTATTATATTTTAAACAAAAACTAAAAGGCACATCAAGTTACTATAAACTAAAATAATGACTTAAAAAATGAAAAAAAAAAATACTAAAACCCTTAAACGTATTCCAGTTAGTTTCCAAACATAATTTTTATTATTATTATTATTATTTCAGGTTTCAGTTGAAGTAACTTTTTTATTTATAGTAATTTTATGTGCTTTTCTCATTTCTATTAGTTTTTGTTTAGCATATGGTATGTCTATGTAGCTGTGATTTGAGTTTATTTGTTTTAGTAATTTCTAGTAAAAAACAAAACTTTTTTTTTATTTACTTGCCAATGCATCAGTTTTTATTTCTTTAAGTTAAAGTTGTTTCATTTAATATTTAGATTCTATCAGTTTTTTTTGTTTTCAGTTACCGAAAACGGTTTAGTTTTAGTTAACAATAACAATGTTTGTGTGTGTAATATTCTTGCACATCTTATTTTTCAAAATGGTTTTGAACTAACTTTCAGCTTTTGTCATAAAAAGGTACAATTATCTTATATTTTACGTATTGACCTTTACACACAGTCATGAAGGCCTATTTCATTTCATTTCATTTGATCAGAATGTTGGTTGGACCACATGTCATGCACTCAATCTGAAATTATCCTTCCTCCAAAAATCACCTCGCTCATTGCTATATGTGTGTGTTTGTGCAATTCAGGGATTGTAGAATGCATATGCAATTAATATGGCTCATTTGATCCAAAACCGCTTCAAATTTGCTATCTTAGATATTTCCTATTGCTCTTTACACCATACTGCCTAAAAAAAAAGCCTGTTTTTTTTTGTTTTTTTTCTCCATGTAGAGCCACGGTTGCACAAAAACCTGCAATTTCCTGTATCAAAAAGAAAAAGAAAAAAAATTGCAGAACTCAGCATCAACTCTCGCTCCACTTCTGGGCCGTCACCAAAAAGCGCGGCGAATGCAGCGGGAGTAATTTCAGCGAGCACTTCCCCTCGTCCTCTCCTGCTTTGTAAGATTGGCTAAATTGGTGATACTGGATTTGGTGGCCCTCATTGTCATCATTCAGCTGCTGAGCCATTGTTGGATTGGCGTGTCACGGTTGTCCTCACTTAACTGAACACTTCGCACGTAAGAGCAGATGGCGTGGCTATTACATATCATCTTATTTACTGCTGTGAGACATGCGGACTCCTGTCAAGGCAAACAGAAACCACCACTTGTTCGAATCTAGGCCGGGGTCGTTTCCCAATCCCACCCAACCTTCTCCCATGTGTCCCAGTCTCTCACTGTTCGGTTGCAATGAAGGCAATACATATGGACCTACAGTTGATGTCAAAAGTTTACATGCGCCTTTCAGAATCTGCAGAATGTTAATTAGGCTATTTTACCAAAATAAGAGGGATCATATGAAATGCATGTTATTGTTTATTTAGTACTGACCTGAATGAGATATTCCACATAAAAGACATTTACATATAGTCCACAAGAGAAAATAATAGTTGAATTTATAAAAATGACCCCATTCAAAAGTTTACTTTAGATTCTTAATACTGTGTTGTTGCCTGAATGATCCACAGCTGTGTTTTT